CTTCACTGGATAGGAAAGATGGATTTGAATGATCTTTGGGAGTGAAAGGAAACATCGGCCCTTTATCAGCGACGAACGATTGAGTTTCCTGAGAAAAAGCTTACGTACAAAGGGTTGCCACGGACTTTAGAATGGTTTTTGGGAGTGAGGGGAGACATCGGCCCTTAATTAGCGACGAACGATTGAAAAATTTCCTGATGAAATTCCCTGACACATTTTGGGGAATTCAGTGTTCGAAACTCACAGGCGCTAACGCGCCAAATGCGCCTAGAAAATCGGCCATGGCGCCTAAAAAATGAAGGCGCTGCGCCAACGTGGCCCCTAAAAATTGCCCCCTAAAAATCTGTATTTTCATATCAGGTAATTATTCGAAATTTTCAGCACCACAAGTGAAAGCTGTCTCTATTCTTCACGATTTTATAATTGATGCTTTTGTCTTCTCCAAGTTACAGCTACTTCCTAGTTCTGTAACGAAAACATCTTGCGTCTAACTTTTCACTATAAATGCGCGGTGATGTATAGGCAAAAAGTCAATTTGGCCCCTAAAAAATCTTCAATGGCGCCTAAAATCGGGTTTGATGCGCCACATGGCTCCTAAAACTCAAAGGTGAGTTTCGAACGCTGGTGAAATTTCCTGTCAGTTAAAGATATGACAGGTGGCTGAGAAGACATAACTAACAATTGTTGTCAGACAAAATATGTTTTTCGAAACCTTAAACCCATTCGAGAAAACAAATAAAGGTGATACAACAAATTATTCCTGACGTTTTCGTCATTTTCCCAGACATTTCCGGGTTTCCCTGACGTTTTAAAATTCCCTGACATTTCCCGGTATTTCCTGACTGTGGCAACCCTGATGTACATAGAGAAGAAATTCGAATTCCTTCAGTGGCGTGGCGTGAATTGCGATGTATCGATTGTTATGCCATTTAAACCTATATAAAAGGATCGATAAACAGGGTGTTCGCAGCGAACACCTTAATAATCGATTCTTTACCATAGGTTTAGATGGCATAACAATCGATACATCGCAATTCACGCCACGCCACGGAATTCCTTCGATTAAAAGTTCCGCTCCTCCCATTTTCGCTGGCTGACCAGTCAAGCCAAGAAGCATTTTAATGAAAGTCGATCCATTGATTTATTGCGATTGCCAACCGTCCCGAGGGGGTTTCTAACTTGACCAAAAACGCTGCCTGCATATGCATGGCTTTTAATTGACGTATTCGTTGACTCGGCTTGAAATTGCATGCGAGAACTGAAGTGGACAATTTATGCATTGACGCCCCCCCCCCCCCCNAACTGCGAAGCTGAAAAAGAGGTTCCTAAATTTGAACGCTAGTGACGGACACGGGGCGCCTTTTCGTTGAGCTGACCTTCCATCGGCGCGACATTCTTTCACCGTGCAGAAACTGAGTAGCCACAGTTGCTAATCGTCTAAAATGTCATCTCATCACGGGCGAATATAATTATTTTACTGCATCTAAAACTTGTGGCTTCTCTGCAATAATTGCGGCTTCGCCCATCCAAACGGCTGTAAATTTTCTCGTGCTTATTTCTACTCCTTGAGATTTGCAGCGATGTAAATGCTTACGCGCGGCCAGCCGGGCGTCACACACCGGATCGAGTCAATTAGAGAGGTTGGACATGAAGTTATTGACTAAAACTGCAAAGGAGGAATATCGATAAGGGCCTCTTCCGGCCCCACCTGGATTTTGCTGAACTAAAAAAAAAATTCAATTTTTTTTTTTTTTAAAAACGTACACGGTTCTTAGTTTAAATTCACTGGAAAAAAACACACATTGGATCTAGAGTCCAGACTCTTAGAAACATCCACAAGAAAAAGTAATCTTGATTCAAGCAAAAATTCGGTTGAATCAAGAGTATTTTTTCTTGTCAATGGTTTCAAGAGTCTGGACTCCAGATTCAATGTGGTTTGTTTTCAGTATTAAGTTCTATAAGTGTAAAATTGGGGGAAAGAAGAAGAAAAAAAAACAAACCTAGAAATGGGCCAAAAATGGCAAAAATGAACCGTGAGGCCCCTTCAAATTCATCGAAGGCCTTTTTAAAGGCCGGAATTGGAAAGTACAAGATAAAATAGGTACGCGGGGATCACTAGGGTGCGTCAAAAAAAATGAAAGTCTGAAATGTTCCGCTCCCCAGGCGGCAATCGATGACGTTTAGTAAAAAAACATGTTTGCCAAAATTTGGGCCAATTTCAATCATTTTAAATGGTGCCAAAGGTCAATTTTGCGATGAAATTATGATATTTTGGTTTAGACCTCGATTTCGTACAAAAAACTCGATTTTACGCTGAAATCGTGCGTTTACGAGAAACATGTCAAAGAACTCGACTTGTAGAGGATGAAATTTTACACTAGGAGGACGTCTTTGTAACCGATAAAAATCAAATTGAACTAGAAAAACTCAACTCGGTATTTATTTTTTTGGTCCTCAGAATTTCCGAGGTCTTACTAAGTAGAGGTTTAAAAGACTCATTTTTCACGAAAATAAGTCGAAAGAGGGTATAAATGAACTGTAGGCAAGTGTTGAGGATGCAAATGTCATCAGAACTTCCTCAGTTTCAAAAAAAGTTCCAACTATTTTGCACAATCCTCCAAAAAGTGTACGACTCGAGAAGCAGGATCGTGCTATAATAGTAGGGGGAAAGTGCGGTTTGACCGGGAAAAATTGCGTAACAAACTTTCCCTATGTAATCGTCATCAGTAGGTCCCCCTGAACAACTTCCTAAAAGTTAAAAATGACCCGACCTCGGAATATCCCTCAAAAAAGTTAAAATTGAAAATGGCGGCCGTAATAAGAGGGTCCGGGAAATCGGTATTTTAAAATGCTCATTCTGTCTCATCATGTGAGGTATCATTTCCTATGTAATTTTGGTCGTAGATTTCATAAATAAATTCCGCAAGGCCCTCCGGCCAAAGGGGGCGTTCCAAATCAAAGATGGCGGCCAAATGTGAAAGGCAGGAGGTTGCATTTTTTTAAATATTCACCGAAGGAACAAGGAAAGTGAAGTGTCTTTATTTTCATGCATTTCTGGCCAAGAAACTTAAATTTAATGTTATAAATGTATTTAATAAAGGAAATTAAAGGAAACATACGACTACCAAGAGAAACGTAAGCTCAGAAGGGGCCTTGCGGAATTCATTTATGAAATCTACGACCAAAATTACATAGGAAATGATACCTCACATGATGAGACAGAATGAGCATTTTAAAATACCGATTTCCCGGACCCTCTTATTACGGCCGCCATTTTCAATTTTAACTTTTTTGAGGGATATTCCGAGGTCGGGTCATTTTTAACTTTTAGGAAGTTGTTCAGGGGGACCTACTGATGACGATTACATAGGGAAAGTTTGTTACGCAATTTTTCCCGGTCAAACCGCACTTTCCCCCTACTATTATAGCACGATCCTGCTTCTCGAGTCGTACACTTTTTGGAGGATTGTGCAAAATAGTTGGAACTTTTTTTGAAACTGAGGAAGTTCTGATGACATTTGCATCCTCAACACTTGCCTACAGTTCATTTATACCCTCTTTCGACTTATTTTCGTGAAAAATGAGTCTTTTAAACCTCTACTTAGTAAGACCTCGGAAATTCTGAGGACCAAAAAAATAAATACCGAGTTGAGTTTTTCTAGTTCAATTTGATTTTTATCGGTTACAAAGACGTCCTCCTAGTGTAAAATTTCATCCTCTACAAGTCGAGTTCTTTGACATTTTTCTCGTAAACGCACGATTTCAGCGTAAAATCGAGTTTTTTGTACGAAATCGAGGTCTAAACCAAAATATCATAATTTCATCGCAAAATTGACCTTTGGCACCATTTAAAATGATTGAAATTGGCCCAAATTTTGGCAAACATGTTTTTTTACTAAACGTCATCGATTGCCGCCTGGGGAGCGGAACATTTCAGACTTTCATTTTTTTTTGACGCACCCTAGGGGATCACCTGCTGGAAGCGTGAAAACAGTCGAAAAAGTCTACGAAAATGACTATTTTTCGATGGCAGAATTTTGGGTTTGAGGAGCTGCTGCACTTTTGCACGGGCTCTGTTCGGTGAATTATTTGGCATAGAGTCTACCTATAGGACTAGTACTTTGAAAATATGAAACATTCAGCAAAATCCAGGTGGGGTCGGAGAAGGCCCTTAATGATACTCCTCCTTTTGATGTGCGTATAATTTGTCACATTTTAAATTGAAGGGGTGCTTCTAAAAGAAAATTTTTCGAGGAAACTAATGGGACCACTTTTAAAAGATCGAAGTTTGGTATTATTAACGGAGTTATGTGCTTTTAAAGCATGGTGTCTAGTTTTCTTGGCAAAGCTCATTCCCTGATTTTTCCCTGATTTTCAGGAGCTCATTCCCTGATGAGAAACCGAGGTTTTCTCCCACTTTCCCGGGATATTCTTGGGGAAAAGAATATAATTTTCCAGCGTTTCAGATATGCATATCGATATTAAATTCATCTTACAGCCATTCCTTTGGCACACGTCAGAATAGACCGCCAAATTTGAAAACGAAATGATCCCTGTGTGGTTCGAGAAGAGATTCCCGATTTCTGGAACAGATTCCCTGATTATCCCGGTAAATTTTCATTCCCTGATGAATCCCGGTTTTCCCCGGTTTTTAAAAAACTAGACACCATGTTTCAAAGTTTCCAAATGTTGTCCGGCCTCTCCTATTAACTCGATCTACTGCGCGGCGTCAGTATAATTAACGATATCCGAGTCAAAATGTGATGCACTTAAAAACAATAAGAGGTCGGACCACGGGCCTTTCATCGTTCTCTAAAGGACGGGATTAAGTGGCCACATTCCGGACTGATTGACATTAGGAGATGGTGACTCACCCTCGAGTGGTTTTGACACTAGAAAATATGAATCCAAACCGACCAAGGATGATGAAATTTCATCACCTCGCGCAGGGAGAAAAATTCCGGGCTTATCAACATTTTACATTCAAGTGCCGCCGGAAAAGTCCCTGATAGACCCGTTCGACTATAAAGAGTCGGCGATCGGTCCTCACAGGATCATTCGTCAGTGTCTTTAAGCTAGTCACATTGTGCAGTTTCAGCTCCAGGTGAGACTTGTCAAACATTCTATTAACTTAGTGAAATCTGAGACCGTGCTGGATTGATAGAATTTTTGCCCCCACCCCCGGTTAATTTGCAGTGGCGTGGCGTGCTTTGCGATAAATCGATTGTGATGCCATTTAAACCCATGGAAAAGGAACGATTTACAGGGTGTTCGCAGCGAACACCTTAATAATCGATTCTTCACCATAGGTTTAAATATGGCATAACAATCGATATTCGCAATTCACGCCACGCCACTGTTAATTTGGCTTCTATTTCTCTTAATTTATTAACTTAGAAATCTACAGTCATCCATCATTGGAAAAAAAACACATTGGATCTAGAGTCCAGACTCTTAAAAACATCGACAAGAAAAAATACTCTTGATTCAATCGGATTTTAGCTTAAATTAAGAACCGAGCCTCTTAATTTGAGCGGATTTCCTTTTGATTTAAGCAAAAATCTGATTGAATCAAGAGTATTTTTTCTTGTCAATGTTTTCAAGAGTCTGGACTCTAGATCCGATGTGTTTTTTTTCCAGTGATGAACATGAATTTTAACATAGAGATTATTATATTGTATGTAGACATCAGGGGGATTTAGGCACATCCATGCTCCGGCTTTCAAATTTTCAGGGATTAAGGTCCAGTATAGAAGCTGTTTCTGCAGATCCCCTCGTCAGTTAACCGTTGAATCAAGTTTATTCCTTATTTTCTTTTTAGGCGTTCGGCCGTTAGGGAGCTCTTTCTGATTTCAACCTGACTCTAGAATTCTAGTAAACTAGTGGCAATGCGTTTAAATGACGCAACAGCTCAACAAAAACATGGCGGAGAAGGGCCTATCATGTTTAGAATAGATTAATTTGTGATACCTTTATTTAGTGCTTCTGGTGTAAAAGCACGGAGGACGGTTTTTCTAAATTTATTTTATAATTGGTGCAGGAGTTTCCTCAAAATTGATAGTTGAAATTTTGGCGAGTTCTTTCATCTCAACGGTGCTCATCTTCGGGGAACTTGAAAACGCGCCTACATAAAAAACAGCTGAGCATTTCTCTAAAACGAACGTATTACAGCTTTCCCGCTTGATTCGGTATTGAATTATTTAGGAGAAAACGACTTGGTCCAAAGCTAGTATAATGTTGATGATATCACCTAAATACCAACATATACGGTTGAAGCCTCCACTGAAAGGAGATTACAATATTTTTGGTTATGAGATGCGCTTAGTTCTGAATCAAACTTGTAGTAAAGTTAAAGCCACAAAAAAATTGGACTCAAAAATTATATGTAAATTCAGCACCCTATTGAAATACTTAGGAGGCATTGAATCAAAGTAAGCACTTAGAAAATTCAAAACCTGCGATTCCTGGGGGAAAATTGTTACTTCATTTTATTACACCTAAGGCTTTTTGAAGTCACTCGAATGCAAAATGACTGAGTGACGAGTTGAATGCCACTTTTTTTTCCTACGGCTCTTACCAAATGATGTTTAATTTTTTATTACAACGCATTAATAATCACTGTTTGTCAAGCGCAATCTTTAATATAGTGTGACAGAATTCAGTTTCGAGCTTATTTTCGAGTGCAACATGCATATTTGCGTGCTTGCTCCCATCAAAATTTTCGCAGCAGATTTTACTTTTCGTGGTTTCATGGATGGAAAGAGGGAGGAGGAGAGATAGTTGCGTAGAAATCGAGTTTGCGGCTGTAGCAAAGTCATCTCCGATGACAAGATTCGTCTCTTTAAAAGAGTCAAAAGTTGACAGAAAGAAAGCAGTGGTAAGGAAAAAAAGAAACAGAGAGAATGACCTAAAAGAGAAAACTAGTTTCCTGGGAAAATTATTCTGACCAATATGATAGAATGTCGATTTATAATTGCTTCTTCTCACTGTAACCGTCTTCTTCAGGGGTTAGATTTAATCTTAACAAAATTTTGCTCGTTTAATTATAATTAAATTAATATTGTTCTGTCATAAATGGACCGCGTTAAACAGAAAGGAACCAAGCCACATCAGCTATTGCTATAAATTTAATCGGGCAATTTAGGATTTTACATGATAACGGTTGTGCGGATTTTGGTACAAATTTCAGTGACTTTTCTTCATAACACAAAGCAACTTCCTTAAAATTTTCAAATGAATCCGCAACAAAGTTCTCTCGTAAAAAATAAAATTTCCCCGTTAAATTTGGCAATAGCTGATGTGGCTTGGTTCCTTTCTGTTTAACGCGGTCCAAATAACCGCCGTTAGCGAATGCAAACACGAAAAAAACGCACATTTTTAATCCAAGAAGGAAGCTCAAAATTTGAGGCTTACAAAACGCTCAAAGAACACGCCTTTCTTTTTCCAGTGAAATCAATCATTTCAAGATGATGCTAAGCTCAGCAGTTGTATCTGTGGCCTTACTTTTCGCTCTGGGCGCAATCGAGGAGACCTATGGTCTTCACATTCCTAAACTGAACCTGGCCCATATGAGCAAACTTCACCAGCCCATATGGAATCACTCACTGCACTACGGCGAGCACAAACCCAACGAATAGTAAGACATTTTCAGTCACCGCTATTTTACACTTTAAGCGCAATCCAGCCATGTTTTTCTCAGTATGCTTTCTCAAACAAAAATAATCAAATGTTGTTTTGCAATTTGCAGAGGAAAATTTCATTCAATGTGTGTTTGAGTTATGACAGGAAATTAACTGAAGTTTTATCATCCGTGCACAGAATACCAATTAAGATAGAAAAATCAGTTGTGAGACGACTAAGTAGACGACTTAGTAGACGACTAAGTTGTTGTGATTAGACTAAGAGCTTATTTTTCATGCAGGTGATTTTATAGCGGAAACAAGCAAACTTCGATGCTTTGAAAAATGCTTATGCGAAAATACCAGCATAAGACGGACCTATTGCGTCTAGAGACACATTTGAGAAGTTTACCCTAAAAAAATATCTCTTGTAAAACTTGCTTTAAAGCTGAAAATGGCCGAACAAAAATTACCCGTTCGATTCGACGGACCGAATTCAAGTCGCGTTCAGATACTTTCAGGGTTTTCTTCCACAATAGTTGTTATTAAAGCCATATACTTAATAAGCTTCTAAGTGTGATGGACCCGTGTTTAGCCCAAAATTTTGGGTAAAGTCAGTTATTAGGCTAACTCACAAAGGGAGCTTCCCAAGTGTAACCGGAATTTCGAGTTGAAATTTCGCATGAAGATACTAGAGATGATTTTAGGGATGCCGTATTTTTTCGTTTTTTCGAATGGGGTCGGGAAAGCCCTCAAAAAAAGGGCTAAAGATGCGGGAAAAACGCGTGCGCTAGCGGCACAAGGTAAACGTAGGTGATAGAGGCTCTCCATCCTTATCAGTTCCGCATGGCCAAACGGTAGCGGGCTCGCCTCGCAGGCGGGAGGTCGTAGGTTCGGATCCTGACTACAGCTCGTAATTTTATTTTACTTAATGCTTGTTTATTTTTCACTTACTTTATTTTGCACCATTCTCTCCGCAAACCGACTTATGAGGTAGAACACGTAGTGACTGAAGATTTTTTACAAATGCTGATAAAAACTCGAATTTTCCTCGGATTGAAGAGTTATATATAATTGAAAAAACAAAACACTCTAAAACTCACCAAATTTCGTCGCCAAGCTGAATTTTCGAAGTATCAGTCGAATCTGTATCTGTATCTGACTGATACTCCGGAAATTCAGCTTGGCAACGAAATTTGGTGAGTTTTAGAGTATTTGTTTTTTCAATTATATATAACGTTTCAATCCAAGAGAAACTTCGAGTTTTTATCAGCATATGTAAAAAATCTTCAGTCACTACGTGTTCTACCTCGTAAGTCGGTTTGCGGAGCGAATGGTGCAAAATAAAGTAAGTGAAAAATAAACATGCATAAAGTAAAATAAAATTACAAGCTGTAGTCAGGATCCGAACCTACGACCTCCCGCCTGCGAGGCGAGCGCGCTACCGTTTGGCCATGCGGTACTAATAAAGATGCCGAGCCTCTATCACCTACGTTTACCTTGTGCCGCTAGCGCACGCGTTTTTTCCGCATCTTTAGCCCTTTTTTTTAGGGCTTTCCCGACCCCATTCGAAAAAACGAAAAAATACGGCATCCCTAAAATCATCTCTAGTATCTTCATGCGAAATTTCAACTCGAAATTCCGGTTACACTTGGAAAGCTCCCCTTGTCAGTTCGATAAATCGTTGCTTATTTACTTCCGGTGTTAGACACCTCAGTATTGTGGTATTTCTTAAATAATTATACGATTGGATGGTTAAGTATTAACTGCTGAATGTGTTTCAGTGTGCTTTACAAGACAGTCATAAGCTCGGACGACGGCGACTATAAGGAGTTCCCAGAGGAAGGCAAAACCAACGACAAAACCATCACTGCAATAGAAATCATAGATAAACTAGCCAACGGTAAATCCGGTTTTGTCTACCACTACGACGGTGTCGGCAGTAAGAATGCCACTTTTGCCTACGTCAACAACAATGATAGCCCCTACAAATTCTTTATTACGGTCTTAGCACAACCAGAAGAATCGGACTGTTAACAAAGCCAAACATTGGGACGACCTGGAGGATGGATCGTGCATCTACGCAAAGCAATGTTATGACCCGTTTCGCTTTCGTTCTGATCCGTTCGGATCATTATTTTAAGATCGTTTGTAACTTATAAAAAATATATTATTCTAAAGGCACTTGAGCGTTTTCCAGTTTTTTCTAAGAAGCCGTCGGGGCAAACCAGGGATGCAGAAACTTCCAAGGGTTCCCCCAAAATAAATTTAGGATTTTAAGTTTTCGCAGAATTTTGACCGACACATAAAGTAACGCGGTCGACAGTTGAGTTCCCTCCAAACAGCGCGCTTGAATGTTCAGTTCCCCCAAAAACAGCGCGCTTGACAGTTAGGTTCTCTCAAAGTAGCCCACTTAGCAGTCAAATTCCCCCGAAATCCTAAAAAAAAAGAAAGAAAAAAATCTTCCCAAGGTTCCCCCAATTTTTTCGTCCTCACATAGGCTTCCCCCCATTTTTCTCGTCATCAAATGGGCCCCCCCCCCATTTTTCTCGTCCTCGCATGGGTTCTCGCATTTCACGCGAACGGCCGGTCGCGTGGTTGGGAAGTTTCTGCACCCCTGGGACAAACATCCTCGCGGGAAAGAGCATCCTGATCTTTTCCTTTCCTTGATTGAAAAACTGTAGCGTCCAGGAAAGTAGATTCTTTTCAACCGCGCGGTCGAGACCAAATTGTGGAAAAGCCCTAAAAACTATGGAGGCTAAGCGACCAAACCCCCCCCCCCCCC